GGCTCACTGGGGTCTCTGGGCCTTGCCAAGGCCCCACGTGCTCTGGCTCATTTACTCTCGGGACCCAGAGAGGCAAAGCAGCTCCCTGAGGTCATACAGCCAGTGATCTGTGAAGCAGAGTCAAACCCAGAACTCCTGCTCTGGGCTGCCGCCCAGGGAGCTTGAGTCTGTACCACTGAAGCCAGTATAGCTGCTACCTGGGGCGCATGGGTCTGCACCACCAGGCCTCCTACTGGAGTCAGCAGCGCCTCCCAAACCCGAATCCCCTGTGTTTGTGGAATTTGGAGTTGAGTCCAGGTGAAGGGGGACAGCTTCGGTGGCCCTGGCCCTGCTGAGGGAAATTTGGGCCAGAGTCACACACAGGAACAGGCAGAAGCTAGAGCGCTGCAGCCATGAGCCCAGGGATGCCAGGGAGAGAGGCCACTGCAGGAGCTGAGGAGCGAGGCCTGGCACATCATTCTAGAACCTTCTAGAACCTTCCAAGAGAGCATGGCCGCTGACATCTCGCAGACCTTTGGCCTCCAGCACTGGGAGGACTGTGTTGAAGGCCAGTGAGCACTGACAATTGTTATGACAATGATGGGAAGGGAAGGCAGTCATCTTGGCCTGTACCTGGGGGACGTCCCCTTTCCCGCGCGCCGAGACAGGGTGGCCTCACCTTCTTGTTGGCTGTGAGACTCGGCAGGTGACTTCCACTCTCTGCCTGTGGTTCCTGTAGGGAAGGCAGCAGTTCTGCCTATGAGCCCAGTGCCCTCTGCCAAGTCGAGCCGGGTGTGACATCCCTGCTGTCCTCTCTTCCTGCCCCGTCATCACCCGGAGTGGGCTGGCGCTGATCGATGGGTTTTCCCATCATGGTGACAGGCACGTGGCTGGGAGGCCATCTTGATGTGGCCCGAGGAGCATCCGGTCCCCATATCTGCGGCCACAATTGCTGGCATCCTGTTGCTGTGGTCCCGGCGAGCTGCCTCCTGGTTCCCGAGCTGCCCCAGCCACTGCACCTCCCTTCCATGCCAGGGCATCACGGCGGTGTGCAGAGGGCAGCCCGCTGCGCCACCATGCACACAGCCCTGGGCGCACGCATGTGAAGACCACAGCGTCTGCGTGCTGTCTCAACCCACACGCATGGCAACACATGCGTGTGTCCCCACATGCACAGACACCTAGCACCGACAGAAAACCACACAACTCAGTTATGCGGATCAGGGAATTCACGCTGTCTTCCCCACTCAGGGTGTCCCTGCTGTGGGAGGTCCGGGTCCACCCCAGTCCTGCTCCCACCTGGGCTGGTCCGAGGCGTCCTGATCACACTCTTCCTGACGCCCTCCCACTGTGCCAGGTGCAGGCGTCAGATGTGGACCCCACTCACTGCAGGGCAGCCGGGACCCCAGTTCACCTGGAGCCCGCCAAGCCGGGGGATGACAGCAGCACAGAGTACATGGCCTGGTGGCCAACACCTGCTGTCCGGCCCTCTAGGTGGACAGGCGGCGCCATCTGCAGCTCCTCAGGGCGGTGGTGTGCGGGCCGTGTGCCCCTGGCGGGCTGCACCCCGGAGAGGGGTGACTGGGCTGGGGTGCAGCAAGGTGCAAAGCTGGCATTTGCCAGGTGCCCACAGTGGGCTGGGTCCTTCCCTTGGGGCCGAGTGCCGACCTGGGAGCAGATGCTGGATGCTGGCGGTGACTGCCCATGAGTGCTTACTGAGCCCTGCCGCGTATTGGGGGCTGCACCAGGCCCAGGACACGGGAACGAGGAGAAAGCCTTGTCACAGAGCAGGGACAGGGTGGGGCACGAAGACACCTGTGGTGGACCCAGGGGAGCTGGAGCCCTGTGGGTCAGCGACCACCCTGGGGAGGGGGCTCCACACCGAGGGCCCCCAGGCCGCGTCCTGCAACAGCCTCAGCCCCTGGGCTGCAGGACAGGGACAGCCTGGGGTCTGACTGAGGCCAGGCTTGGGGAGGGTGGGGTGGCAGTGGTGACCGTGAGGGACAGGAAGCAACGCCCCGTCTGCTCCCCTTCGCCCCTGGGGCTCTGGGCCTCAGCCCTGGCTGCCTCGGGCACAAGTCTGAGGCCAGAGGTCGCCTCTGCACTGTCCCCGCGTCCCCAGCCGACCCCACAGGCTGCAGGCGGGCGGGCACAGGAGCTGTCAGCCGATTCCTGGCAGGCTTAGTCACCCCACACAAGTGACATTTATTTATGCCCTCGCCAGGGAGCGCAGCGAGAATTAATTACTTAGGGCCGAGGAAGCGCTGTGAGCAGGAAAAGTGCAGGGAGGACCTGGCGGGCCCGGGGGAGCTGAGGAAGTGGAGGAAGGGGAAGAGGTCGCCTTGTGCCGGCAGCCGGAGGAGACAGCGTGGGTCACGAGGACGCTGCCGCGGAGCGTCCTCCCTGTGGGGACACCGGGCTCACACACAAGGAGACGGTGACTCTGTGTGCACACAGGTGTGTGCGCATCCCCTGTGCTCGGATTTGTGTCTGCGAGCACACGTGGTACCGATTCACGTGTGCGCACATGCGTGTTCATGCCGTTCATGTGTGCACTGTATACACGGGCACGTGTTCTGTGTGTATGTGTGCACGTGTGTGTCCCGCAGGGTGACCCTGGCCCCTGCCCCCATCCTCCGCTGCTCCCCAGGGTGAGCTGCAAGAAAACCCCACAGCACCAGGCGACGCAGTGACCAAGGGTTCCAGCTTCTCCGGGCCCCTTCCACCCCTCGGGCCCCAGCTCTGCCTCAGTTTACCCCAACGCAGCCCAGTGCCCAGAACCATTCAGTAGCAATCACTCCCTGCCTGCTCCGGGTCCCAAGGTCCTCTGAGGAGCTCCGTGAAATAAAACAGCAGAGAGAAACAAGCCCTGTCTGGCAGTGTCAGAACTGCCTCGTGCCTCAGTCTCCCTCTCTGTACCAAGGGAGTGGGGTGGGAGGGCAGCACCACAGAGCAGTGAGCTCCTCGGGCCCATTCCCCTGGGGCCGGGGCTCACCCAGGGTACAGCTCAGGGACTGTGCAGGGCAGTGACTCCTCAGGACTTAGGACTAAACACAGCATCTGTGAATCGAGCTCTTAAAAAAATCCTCCTGCCTCAGCTTCCTGAGCACTGGAATTACAGGTATGTGCCACCACATGTGGCTAAGAAAATTTTTAAAAATATAAATATTGGTGCAGGGTCTTACTAAGTTGGTGAATTGCCCAGGCTGGGCTTGAACTTGAGACCACCCTGTCTCAGCCTCCCAGAGTGCTGGGATGACAGGTGTGTGTCACTCACCAGCTCCATCAATCCTTTTCAGAACATGAATTGCATCCTGGAAAGGTGACTTGCCGAGCCCAAGACCACCCAGCTAGAACGTGGACACAGGGACAGATGGCGGGGGTCCCCCTCTGGCTGAGGCTGGCAGCTGACCAGGCACTGAGGCTCCCAGCATGGCCGCCCCCTGAAATTGTCCCCGCCTGCTGTGTGCCATGACCCAGAAGCGGCCCCAGCTGTAAATCAGGAGGCTGCCCATGGGCATAGAGGCCCCGCCACCAAGGCTGCCCGCAGCCGCTCGAGGACAGCTCGCAGGCCCCTGGAGGCCGTTGCCATGGTGATGCACCAGCCACCCTTGTCCTGGGCACTGCGTGGGCTGGGGCTGAGCGCCAGTCTGTTCCTCCTCGCCCTCCCCTGCCCGCCTCCTCCTCAGGGTCACGGTGGGGTCCTGGGAGCTCCCCGCTTCTCCCAGCTCACCCAGCTGAAAGTCAAATGCTCCACAGGAAAGGTTTCCTGGCCGAGGCACGCCAGGGCCATGCCCAGGACCGAGGGCTCTGGTATAGCCAACACGGGGCCTCACCCTGCCTGGGGGGCACACACCAGCCACCCCCATGGGCCCTACAGCTGCCCCAAGGGTGACAGCAGGAGCCACAGAGCAAGTGACAGCCAGTGGGCTCAGCGCTGCCCTGCAGAGCCTCACAGCCTGCTCGTGACCTCGAGGACAAACACCCCGCTGTCCCCTGGAGCCCCCGGAGCCGCGGCCATGCTCACGGGCACAGGTTCAGGACAGGAAGCCAGAGCACTCAAGGATGACTGCGCAGGATTTTCACTGCTGCTCACGGCCTGGCACAGGTCCTGGGGGAGGATGCTGACTCTGGCAGGGACCCAGGAGCACACAGGGCCCTGGGCACCTGGAGGAGGCTGGATTAGCCAGGCTGCCTTAAGGAGCAAGTAAGGAAAAAACCCTAATCCCAACAGCTTTTGCAATGAACATCTGCGGTTCACCGTGGTGAGCAGTCCTAAGGTGGGGGAGCTCCAGGCTGTCTGACTCAGCAGCTCACAGTGGCCTTTAAACACAGCTCTTTTCCTTTCTCTTTCCTGCCACTCTCAGGATTGGGATTCCCCTAGAGGTCCCAAGATGGCTGCAACAGATCCGGTCATCACATCCAGCAGGACCAGGAATGATCATGTCCTTTTTGATTCTCTTTTAAGAGGGGGTAAACACCCTCCTCATGCCTCACTGGCTGGAACTGGGTCACCTGAATAGCCAGGTAGCAGACTCTGGCTCACTAGCCAGACATGGTCCCAAACCTGGTTTTGTAAACAGATTTTTTGGAAGCTGGTTTTACCTCTCATCCCACAGGGAACACGACAGTCCCCAGAGAGGGGACAGCAAGCAGGGAGGAAGACCTGTCTCCAAGGACACACTGACACGGGTGCATACACCTTGTGCTTAGAGCACCCTCTCCTGGCCAAGGGAATGAGGGAGTAAATTCCCAAATCAGATCCCTTCCAGGATGGGCCAAGGCCAATGGCGTTTGGCCCTGGGCTGGTCTTGACCTCTTTCTACAGCCTCCCCAGCGTTGTCAGGCCCAGCCACCTGGGCTCCAGAGCATGCAGTGGCCTCAGGGCCTTTGCACTGCTTCCAGGGTTTCTACATGGGGACACTTCTCCGGCCGCAGGAAGGGGCCTCTTTGTTGAGATGCCTCTGTTCCCAAGCTGCCAGGGGCAGGGCAGGAGCTGTGGACCAGCGGTCTGGTGCTACCTGTGCTGGCTCCTGATTCCAGGGGCTCCTGAAGGGGTCTTAAAGCTCCCCACACCTTCACTGTTTAGTCTTCCACCTTGTTAGCAATGCCTGCTGGTACGGGATTCCCAGGCCGCTGGTGGTGGCGGGAGAGGTCCCAACAGGCACCTCCAGCACGGGCGGCAGATGACGGGGCCACACGAGCTGGACCTTCAAGGCCACGTGCTGGGGAGAGCAGCGGCCTCCGCCCGGCTGTCACTGTTACCATTCATTCCCATCTGACACAAAGAATGAGGCCCAGGGAGGACCAGAGCAAAAGTGCCTCAGGCTCCGCGCGGTGACTCTGGTCACAGTGGCCGGGGAATCCCCACCACACCCACCTCCGGGCAGAGCCGCGCCTGGCTTCACTGTGGCTTCTGCAGCTGTGTCTGTGTATAGCCGTAAGAGGTCACATGAGGCCAGGTCACTGCGGTGTCCCCAGCCTCGGGCCACAGCACAGAGCTGCCCTGAGCCTTGCAGGGCCAGCTCTGGGGTTGGCCAGGCCCCCAGCTCTCCCAGGTGACCTGGAGTGAGTTGCCCCCAAACTAAGACAGTGCGGCCAGTGTCACTTTCCAGCCTGGGGTGGGGGGGCGGGAGTCATGGCCAACACAGTTAGCAACTATTTAGGAAGCGGAGGCAGGAGGAGCACAGTTCAAGTCCAGCCTGGGCTACTTAGCAAGATACTATCTCAAAAGAAAACAGAAAATTTTAAGTGCACTCAATGGTAGAGCACACACACAGCCTGTGTGAGGCCCTCGGCTGCATCCCCGGTAAACACATGCACAGGTGAACACCCAGACACACACACATGCACACACATCACACAGACAACAAAAGGCCAATCTGGACTCTCTGGGGCTGTGAATAACCGCAGAGCGGAAGTAAATGGTGAAATCACGTCAGGCTTTGTCTGCCAAGTGTCGTGGGTGCTGGGAAGTAGAGAGGGGCCCCAGACTGAGGGCTTCCCCCAGCTCTGGAGGTGTCCTAGAGGCCAGCGCAGCAGATGCAAAGGCCCAGGGGCAGGAAGGTGTCTGACAGACAGCCAGAGCCAGAGCTTGAGGCAGAAAGACCAAAGCACACAGCCGGTTAATTTGGCACAAAGCCACGGTGGCTTCACAGCATGGGAGGCAGCACAGGTACTGCCCCTCTTGGCCAGTCTGGCCTCTGCCATCTTCCTTCCACAAAGCCATACCCAGCCCCAGAACTGGGTCCTGATTGGCCCAGTATGGCCACACCCCTCACAGAGACTGGCCCAGTCCTGATCATGTGACATGACCCAGCCAACCACTGGTGAGCTCCTTCTCCAAGGAGAGGGTCCCAGGACAAGTGCCCCTGCCCTTGGCCGCTTCTGATGAGGGTGCCAGGGGCTGAGGGTCTGACCTGTTGGCCTCTAGCCAACGTGAGCTGCTCCAGCCATGACTCTTGATCAGACCGGGCCCTATCAGCACCTCTTCCTAGAAGCCTGCCTGGTCATCCCTGGCCGCCCTGTGACCTCCACCTGTCCCCGCTGACCACTCCCACAGTGCCGCCGCGCCTGGGACTGCTCCCCACCTGCAACACACTCCATGAGGGCCCAGGTATCCCTGTCTGCTCCTTTCCAGATTTCACAGTGAATCCGCTGCCTGGTGAGTGCAGGACGAGGCCACGGGGCTAACACGCGGCCCTGAGCCGCCGGAGATGCGTCCCGGACCTTGCGAGTCCCACAGAGCCCTGGACAGACAGCCCTGTCTGCTCTGCTCCTCTCTGTCCCCTCCGTCCCGGGCTCACTCTCAGCCCTGATCCCACCCTCCTGCCTACGGGGTGGCATCAGGCCCAGGACAGGCACTCGGGGATGGAGGCCCGCAGTGACTGCCCCTCTGTGCCATCCACAGTGGCTCAGACCTTGGGGGTGGCCCAGCCGGTCCCTGCCACCGCCTCAGGAGTGGGGGTGCTTAGCAGGTGCAGCGATGATTCGGCACAATGCCCCTGGCACAGGGGACCCCATGATGCTCAAGCAGCTTCCTCCCCCAATGCTGGGGACTAAACCCAGGGCCTTCACTCTGCCCTACGTCCTCATCCCCTTTATATTGTGAGACAGGGTCTTGCAAAGTGAAGTTGCCCAGGTTGGACTTTAAGATCCTCCTGCCTCAGCCTCCCAGAGTGCTGGGATGACAGGCATAGCCCACCGCGCCCGGCTCACCCTGCCTCTTCATCTCTGCCCCAGCTGCCAGGTGGCTCCCTCCTCGCCTGGTGCTGGAGGAAGAGCAAGAACGCGGCCCCATCACGTAGGGAGCAGACACTGAGTGCCACCTCTCCCACACTTTGTCACGCACTGCTCTGTCACTCCGACGCTTCCCAGCGCCAGTCCCTCTTCCTCCCCACTGAACTTTCTATTTGGGGAAGAACACATTTCCCAGGCCTCCAGATGTGCGCAGGGAGTGGCTCCTCTCCAACACACTGGTGTCTGCCCGCCTGAGGGAGGAGGGACAGGAATTCCTGTGTGCAAGAATGAGGACTGCGACTCAGGCCAGTTCTGAGCGGTTTGTGTAAACTCACCCAGCAAACTGCTAGCGAGACCCTGAGGAACAGGCATTATTTATCTTCTTTCCATGTTACAGTCAGGTTACAGGGGCACAGAGAGGGAGGTCACGCAGCCTCACAAGCCAGTTCTGCAGATTTAACTAGGATTTGCACTGAGCTGCATCTATGACAAAACCCAAATAGCGCTGGTTTGCCCAAATAAGAGGTTTCTGTCTCCTTCTTAATGAGACATCTGGAGATGGCCTGTCCAAGGCTCAGTGGGCAGCCCCACTGTGACGTGAAAACTCAGGCTTTTTCGATGCATTTTTTCACAGTCACTTATGGACACAAAGTGACTACACCACCTCCAGCATTGCATCTGTGTTCCAGCCAGGAAGAGCGGGAAGAGCACAGCCCCACCCCCACCGCTGACACCCGCTAATGTTCTGTCCTGAGTAGAATTAGGGTTTTATTAGGAGAGACAGAGGGGAACATTGGATGTTAGAACCACAACCATGGATGTGTAGACCACACAGTAAACCTAAGATTTCACAGGAATTGTGCGGTAGACCAGAGGGTCTCATGTTCCACGAGGTGGGGCCAAGTCCCCTGACTGGGAAAACGGAGGAGCTGGGCCCCGGGGTGTGCAGGTGGGTAAGGCTGTGGGCCTGCGTAAGAAGTGGCGGATTGGCCAGGTGGTGGTGCTCACCTGTCATCCCGGCACTCTGGGAGGCTGAGGCAGGAGGATTAAAAGTTCAAATCCTGGCCGGGCTACTTTGCAAGACCCTACCTCAATATACAAAATAGAAAAGGGCTGGGGATGCTGGATGGGGTGGTGCGCACCTGTACTCAGGAGGCTGAGGCAAGAGGATCGTCATGAGTTCAAGGCCAGCCAGAGCTCCATAGTGAGTTCAAGGCCGGCCTGAACTATATAGGGAGACCCTGTTTTGCGGAGAGGGCTGGGGATGTGGCTCAGTGTGAAGGCCCTGGGCACAGTCCCCAGTACTGCAAATAACAATTTTTTAAAAAGAAAAATATGTGAGTTGACTTAAAAGGCATAAGCAAGGGCCAGGGATTTAGCTCAGTGGTTCCACCGCCTGCCTCACAAGTGCAAGGACCCGAGTTCGATCTCTGGAGTATAAATAAATAAATAAATAATAAAATGAAAAGCATAAGAACAGGACGGCCCCTGGTCATCGGAACCCCACAGAGGGCTCTTCAGCAAGCACACGGCCCCTCCACCCACCCTGTCCCTCCAGGTAGCAGCAGAGGGAGCGAAGGGGGCGCAGGGAAGGCGCGGGGTGAGACACCAGCCTCTCCTGCCTCCGCCAGACGCCAGGCCTGGGCAAAATGGGACACAGCCTGGGACAGAGAAGCCGTGGCCCCCAGGGTCTGGGAGCAGCAGGCCTGGCCGTGACAACTGGGTTGCAGTTTGCTGCGCATTCACTCATTCCCCTATTCCGGCCCTGCACCAGGCACTGCGCCGAGGGCTGGGCTGGGGGGACGCCAGGGCTGGGTGGCAGGGACAGCAAGGCCTGCTCGTGTCACTCATGAGTCATTTGACTGCCTGGGAAAGTGGAAACCTGGAGCTAGGACCCAGGAATCATGGCAGTGCCAAATCGTGAGGAGATCTGGCTTGGGGATTGGTACAAATGGACTCGCAGGCCCAGGGACCTGGCCTGTAACGCCCAGCCACCTCCTGACCGAGCGTGAGCTTCTCCACTGCCACCTGCCCTGCTGGGCCCTGGCCGCCTCACCTCCCTGAGGTGTCCGTCCCTGAGCTGAGGGCTGTGACGGCGCAGCGCCGCCTCGGAGTCCTCCCCTGAGTCCCAGCGGCTCCTGAAGCACCGCTCTTGACAAGATCAATAAAGCTCAGGCCGTGGGCACAGGGACAGGCAGTAGCGACCCGGCCCTCTGGGGACAGGCGGGGTCAGTGACGGTGGGGACAGCTGGCCGGGAGAAGCCAAAGCAGGACACGCAGGTGAGCATCTGCGTTCTGCCCCCCCCCCGAGATCCCGGCCCCTGGCGTGGACCGAGCAGAGCTTCCTGCCAGTGTCCCGGGCTGAGAGCCCGCTCTCTCACCAGGACCAGGCTCAGCTCTAGCCCGGAGGCAGCAAGAAGGTCAGGACAGAAACACTTTTGTTCAGGCAACGCCCACAGGACCAAGAACGAACCTTGCTGGGCAGGAACGGGGCGGCTTCAGTACTTTCCCCAAGGGGTCCAGCCACAGCCAGGTCCGCTGGAGCCTGAGTTCCACGCTGTCTTAGTCACCTTCCCGCCGCCGGTACCCAACACCAACACCGCACACTTACAGCAGAGGTTACTCAGGCTCAGGCGGCAGCGCACAGTCCACCGCAGGGAGGCCAGGCAGAGGGGCCTGGCGGAGCAGCACGGCTCACAGCGAGGGGAGCAGGAAGCGGAGAGGGCCCCGCCCAAGGCCCCGCCCACGACCGCCCCTCCGGACAGGGCCCGCCCACCGTGTCTGCCCCTTATCCCCAGGCCCCGCCCCGTGGCCTCCTCCTAGCCCAGCTTCTCCGAGCCTGCGGAGCCCAGTCCCCTGCTGGAGGTCCCGCTGCTGAGCTCGAGGCTCCTGGGGGACATCTTGGGGGGCGCTCTTGGGTGCAAAACATAGCTCACCACCGCGAGCTATGCACGCGGAGCTGGGCACACGCTCGGACCGGACACGGGCCCTGCCGACAGCAGGGTCAGGACGAGATCACCTAGATTCAGGTGGCCCTAGAGGCGGGGGCGACGGGCGTGGAGGAAGAGGACCCGCTGGAGACGGGCGCCTCCTGTCGACGGGCGTGGAGGAAGAGGACCCGCTGGAGACGGGCGCCTCCTGAGCTGCGGTGGTGGAGCCGCCAGCGCCCTCTCCGCACGGCACGACAGTGTGTGTGCAGATGAGGCCCCGCGTCACGCTCCTGGGCCTCCGGGTGAGCCTTTTGCTGCCTTCCGAGGCCTCTCCCCCACCTACCACCCTGCTTGGCACCTCCCCTCCTGGCTTTGCTCTCCCCTCCCCAAGGCTGCAGTGACACCTGCAGTGACACGTGGCCTCAGCACCGGCCTCTACGTCAGTTTCCTTGCTGGAAGCTGCCCTCCCCCCACTCCCTCCTGGGATGGCCGCATGACCTGGCAGGCCAATCCGGATATCTCATCACCCTGGGCTCTTGGGATTGGCTCCCAGTTGGGACACGTGACTCAGACTGAGCCAATAACTGTCAGGCTCGGGGTTTTTGCTGAAACATCCTATAAACAAGTCTTGCCTGAAGCTGGTCTCTGGGGGATACTCAGTTTCATGAATCAGCAAATGTGTTGGCCACTTCTCCTGCCCCTGGGACAAAATGCCTGACACACAGAACAAAATGGCTTATTTGGCTTACAGTTTTAGAGATTTCTGTCTTCCATTGGTCACCCGGGTGTCCCCCTCTCCTCCTCCTGCCACTGGCCTGACCCAGCCCATCTGCCCCACCTCTCTGCAATGCCCAGGGAGCCTTCAGCCCGTGGCACGGGTGTCTGGCCTAGGGACTAGTCCATGCGTGTGGGAAGAGGGACCATGCTGTGTGTCCACCCCCTGCAGGGGACACGATGGTCCCTGGGACTAGTGCTGCTGGGGACATCTGTGTGTGGCTTCTCTGCTGGGCCTGCAGTAGGTGACTCGGTTTCCTCTCCCAAGGAATTCTGGGACTGTGCACAGCAGCTGCCGCCCCTTCCCTCGCACCCGGTGCCTGTTCTGCAGGGGCCTCTCTGACCGGCAGGCTGTCCACAGTTAGTGTCCAAAAATACACGCTTGCGGGCTGAGGTGGCACACGCCTGTGATTCCAGCACTTCGGAGGCCGAGGCAGGAGGATCACAAGTTCATGGTCAGCCAGGCCCACATAGTGAGTTCAAGACCAGCCTAGGCTACATGGTGAGACTCTGTCTAGAAAAAAGTAAAATGAACAAACAAACAAAGGCACACCCCAGGAGGAGCTATCTGAAGAGGGACAAGACAATCCAGGTTCTCCCAGCCCAGAGCAGCCCCAGGAAGAAGCACTATTAATACGTTCAACCCTAATCAAATCTGGGTAATTTCACTAGAAACCTCTCAATAATTTCATCAGCATTAAAGAATTACAATAATGACAAATTAAACCAACAGGCATGAATTCAGTTGCTTGAGAGGAAAATGTAGCTTCATTCAGAAACGGATGTTACAGTTTATTAACCAATCTAAATTAATTTGATTTTGAGCCACTGTTAAATATACATTAGGATGTATCTCCTGCTGGGATAGCTGCCTGCTGGGGAAACAGCAAGGAGAGAAG